AGCGTCCTTGTTCCTAGCAGCGATGCCAGGAGCCCCTAGTAGCGTTCCTAGTAGCGTTCTTGTTCCTTGTAGTATGGCCAGGAGCCCCTAGTAGCGTCCTTGTTCCTAGCAGCGATGCCAGGAGCCCCTAGTAGCGTTCTTGTTCCTAGTAGTATGGTCAGGAGCCCCTAGAAGCGTCCTTGCTCCTAGTAGCGATGCCAGGAGCCCCTAGTAGCGTTCTTGTTCCTAGTAGCGATGCCAGGAGCCCCTAGAAGCGTCTCTTTGCTTCGTAGCGATGCCAGGAGCCCCTAGTAGCGCCCTTGTTCCTCGTAGCGATGCCAGGAGCCCCTAGTAGCGTTCTTGTTCCTAGTAGCGATGTGCCAGGAGCCCCTAGTAGCGCTCTTGTTCCTAGTAGTATGGCCAGGAGCCCCTAGTAGTTCCTCGTAGCGATGCCAGGAGCCCCTAGTAGCGTTCTTGTTCCTAGTAGTATGGCCAGGAGCCCCTATTAGCGTCCTTGTTCCTAGTAATGTTGGATGCTGATTAGTAAATGGTTCCGCAATATTGCTAAATTTTCCAAAATTATTCCAGACCCCATGTTTGAAAAATGGTTCTTGAATAATGCTAACTTTTTTGGGGGCCCTAAATTTTTTATATTGGAAACCTACTTAATAAGGGTTGAATTCCTTCTGAACCCTGTCCACCTGCACTCCCCCCTCCCTTTCCAGGCAAGCAGCCAGCAGCAAAGCAAAACTGACAGCTGACCAAAACCACCAATTCCTAATTAAACCCTTTATAAAACATTGCTCCTAAACAAATTGTCAAGGTAGTAGACCAGGAAGGCACCTGATCCTCAATAATAGATTTGTTTTTGGGTTCTCAATTGTGAAAAGTTTTTTCCACTGGAAAAAATTGCTCATGTAATCTTCCTTTCCTTAGCTCCTGAGGCGAATGATTATGATTCATTAGCTGATGTAGTTTTCTCTAGGTTTCTTCAAGACTGACAGCTTTCTCACAGGAATTCTCACAGGAATCCAGATTTGTTTTGGTGGTAGTTTATTATAGAGGGTCCTCTGTTTGTTTGAAGTAGGGGGGGACCCCCCTTTACTAAACAGGATCCAACATTAGCGATGCCAGGAGCCCCTAGTAGCGTTCTTGTTCCTAGTAGTATGGCCAGGAGCCCCTAGTAGCGTCCTTGTTCCTAGTAGCGATGCCAGGAGCCCCTAGTAGAGTTCTTGTTCCTAGTAGTATGGCCAGGAGCCCCTAGTAGCGTCCTTGTTCCTCGTAGCCATGCCAGGAGCCCCTAGTAGCGTTCTTGTTCCTAGTAGCGATGCCAGGAGCCCCTAGAAGCGTTCTTGTTCCTAGTAGTATGGTCAGGAGCCCCTAGAAGCGTCCTTGCTCCTAGTAGCGATGCCAGGAGCCCCTAGAAGCGTTCTTGTTCCTAGTAGTATGGTCAGGAGCCCCTAGAAGTGTCCTTGCTCCTAGTAGCGATGCCAGGAGCCCCTAGTAGCGTTCTTGTTCCAGGAGCTAGTATATAGCGTCCCTGCTCCTAAGAAGTCCAGGACTTGTTTTGCTCAAAGTGTCGGTGCTTCCTTTTCTCGGAGTTCTCAGGCTCCAGCAGCAAGGACTGCTGTCGATGTTCCATTCTTAGACTTGTGGGTTTTAGAAGTGACACCACCGCACAGGAACCAGGAGTCCGAGGAATTCAAATGGAGAATGCCAACACGACTGTGCAGAAGGATCGAAGTTGACGCTCAAAGATTTGACGTTGAATGATTGATGTCCCTCTTGGACAATGAAAAAGAGATAACAAAAGAAGATAAGGGCTCCTTTAATGAGGGTCCTCATAAAGGGGTCTTTACCATATTGTTCCTTCTTGTTTTTCTCATCTTTGTGTTTATTCTTTTATAATAGCAAAAATTGTTACTAGTAGCGATGCCAGGAGCCCCTAATAGCGTCCTTGCTCCTAGTAGCGTCCTGATAATAGCGTCCTTGCTCCTACCTTCTCAATGCCGTACTTCTTGGACATTCTCAGTGCGAGGATTCATCGGAGACTCCTGAGACTGCACGTTTGATCGAGGAACGCTGCAGCAGCGGAGTAGTGAGATGTGATGAGTAGCGAGATGTGCATATATACGTATGAACATATTTATATATATATATTAATGTTTACATAGTAATATATATATATAATGCTTAACTAGGTGCGGTTGAGAGTATTGTTATTTGCTAAGTTGTGTCTATTGTGCTTGTGTTGCGGACAGGAAGGGCAGGTCCAGCTCGTCAAATCGTCTCAGCCCCTACTTGCCACTTCGGGCAACAAGGCGAGCATTTGCAGCAGCTACCCGGTAGATCCCGGCACCCAAGATGCCAAAATGCATGGGACAGAGCAAACAGTTGTGTCATATTGTGTTTATGGTTCTAAGTCCATTTCAGGTGGCGAGAGTCACGTCGGATGTAGTTGAACATTGAGAACACTAGCGTTGTTTTGCAGACTCTTTGCATGTCCCTTTAATTTGCTCTTTGTACCTTCCAGATTTTTTGTTTGTTTTTTCTATTAGGTTGGAGGCCACCGCTCTTAGGTTGGAGGCCATCGCTAGTAGGTTGGAGGCCATTGCTCTGGGTCCGAGGCCATCGCTATTTGGTCTATTTTGTATCGTGTTTTTGGTGTTAATGTTGATTTTATGATTTTGCTTTTATTTGTATTTCTGCTTGGACCTTTCAGACCTTTTTTTTCTTGCACACTCGCTAAAATTTCAATTGGAAGCTTCGTTCAAAGCCCCGCCAGGAAACTCAGAAGATTATTGACAGGCTCACAGCTGGGGAGGCACGGGAACTTGACATTTTTCCCGCATATGTTCTGCAGAATGTTCCCGCGTGGCCTTTTTCGGTGGCCCACTGCTTGGCTCTGAAAGAGGGCTGCAGATCTGATCATCTAATGTTGCCAGGACTTTGAGACACACAAGTGGCGGTGCTTCTTCAATCCAGATATGGTCATGCTGACACGTGAAAAAGCACCAGGCCATAGGGCTGGGCGAACTCATTTGGTCCATGGCCTGCCAGGCTTACTACAGTCTCAGCCCTTTCGCACGCTTGACAGTAGCAACCTGGCGAACAAAATCGGCAAAACATGGCAAATGCAGGAATCGTCGGCTCGTAGAGCACTTCTTTCATTGTCTTGAAAATTTGCTCTACGAGCTTGATGTCAATGAGGAAATGGTAGAAGCGCGCAACCTCATTCCCTCAGTGACCAGCAGCTTTGAATCCTATTTGGGTGACATGGCTCCATCCTTCTCAGCCTTGATACATCAGCTTCCAGGGGTAGCATTCACTCCTTGAAAGCTTCCCCTGATTTGGCACAGGTTTGCTGCAAGGGATGCTGTTAAACGGTTGCTTATGTGAATCGCTCAGGTGACGAACCAGATGGTTTTGTGAAGGTCTATGTGGATGATTGCTTCAAGTACTCAACAAGTTGCATCAACAATGATCGCAATCCCCAGTGGAACGACACACAAGTCTTTGACATCGTGGCCGACAAGAGCATTGTGCGTTTGCATGTCTACGACTCTGACTCCCATGACAACTCCACGCTCATAGATCCTATTGGCTTCGTGGAGTTTTGCATTGCAGACATCCCATTTGACCAAGCCCCCCGGCGGCCTTCGCATATCCACCTTCCATGGTACTGATACTGTGTGTGTGTGTTGATTCATGGTGATAGATTTTGGATGGTGTCGACCTGTTTTGCTAGCCTTGCACCTGATTCCAATGCACTCTGGAACTGAACCCCCACAACACAATGGAGATTGTTCCGCTTTGGATGTGCAGATTCACAGATGGGCATGTAGTGGTGTACTGTTGTGAGCTGTCTTTGCTCCAGGTGATTGATGGCTGGTTGGAGCTTCGCTTCCCAGGAAATCTCCAAGGAATCAATACTGACCGATACGCCGAACACATGGCTCAACGTGAGGAAGAGTGCCAAGCTTAGCTTGGCATTTGGGTGTCGCTTAGCTTTGATGTTCGTGGACTGTGCAAGCTGAGCTTGTGAGGATGCAAACGCCGATGCCCACGAAGCCTTCCATTGAACAAGATGACAGCAACAATCCTGCTCCAAAGGCGAAGTCCAAGAAGAAGGACCGCAAAATCTGAGGCCCCAAGCATGTTCATAATTTAAGACAAGGGAAGGAAGACAAGAAGTTCACAGCCCCTTTAACCCGTAAAGGTGGCCAGATCATCCCTTTTTAGCTACTTGCATCGGGTCAGTCGGCAAATTTTGTGGCTTTCCGGCCTTACCTTCTTGTGTTCCTTTTTTTCTTGGGACACATTTCGAATCGTGGACCAAAGAGGTTGGCGACTTCAGCTTTCCAGACTTGTAAAGCATTCCCCGTGTTGGCAAACATCTCTTCCGATCAGTTCCCCCTGGGCACCAAGGAGGCGGCAGACCCTGCAGATGCCTACAAAGTGGAGGCGGCTAAGATCAAGACCTCTTTCACGAATCGAATGTTCAAGCGCATTCGAGAGCCTTGGCCATTTGCATTCTCCTTGTTTTTCTTGAACGTGCTTGCAGTGTTTGTGCAGCTGTGTGGTCTGGACATGCGACTTACTTTCAGCTAAGGCGGGCTCAAACAAAATGATGGGAAGGGTTGAAGAACCACCTCCTGACACCCAGTTTAATGCCGGTGAGACACTTGCCAGGAATTGTGGCGACGGCACCGCCTAGGTTGGTTTTACTCTGTTCATGCGAGACGCAAGGAAGATCAGGAACCCCATGTGTTACTTTGCTGAACTGAGGATTCATGTCCGGATGAAGCTTGAGAGGTGCGTGTCTGAAAACACGGCCTTGTTTGCCAAAGCACTGGTACCAAGCTGCATGACCTTTGCGACTTGATTAAATGTGTTGATGTGTTGGGACGTGCGGTCTCAAATTGTTGTGTTTCAAGTCTGGCTGTGATTGACTAGTGACCGGGTAACTACCTCCGGCCATGCAGAATCTCGCTCAGGCTACCTTTATCCAGGAGGAATTCTTGCCAAAGCTTGATGTTCAGGACATTCTAACGATATCGAATCTAATGATCTGTTATTTCAGGCCAAGGACGCTACTAGGGGCTCCTGGCCTTACTACTAGGGGCAAGGACGCTACTAGGCACCGTGGGTCTGGGCTTTTGAGATTGGAATTTGGTCCCAGCCTGCCAGCTGTCCATTTTGGGTAATTACAAGCCACTATTTATTTGGTACTTCTCACTTTTAGGCAGGGCAGTCGGTGTGGCTTTAGTATCTTTAGTGATTGCATGAAATTTGTCCAAGACTTTCGCAGCAAGAGGGTAATGTGCAGAGCTTGAAGAAAATGACACGTTTGTTTTGCTGATGCGATTCTTTGGTAGCAAGGCCATACATTCCCCTCCTGCGGACACTTATCCTGCCAGTTCGTCCCCACCAGGAATTGCTAGACGATGCATTGGATCTGAAGATTGAGATCGTCGATGAGATGTTCTTTGCAGTTGCCGCTTTTTTCAGTTTCCTGCTTAGGGTAAGCTCACCACTTGAAAGCCGCCGAAGAGTTCAACCAAAACGAAGTGAAGAAAAATACATCCAAGCAATTCAACACTCAAAGACATGAAGACATTGGCGCTCATAGGCTACGTGCTGGCATGGCGTTCTATCATGGTTTCCGGGCTTCTTTTCATTTGTGTCATGCACCTTGGCACAGTGATGATAGTGATGTTGCTTTCCTAAGAAGCAAGTGTAACTGGTTTTGGCCCACTTGGTAAGGGCAGCGCGTGGAACTCATGGAAATAGGGTTAGGGGCTTCATAGAGCCATCATACTAGGGTGGGCCTCCAACCTAGAAGCGATGGCCTCCACCTAATAGCGATGGCCTCCAACCTTGTGTCAAGAGAGGGACGGAAAACCAAAAGTTTGAACAGAGGTCAGGAGCAAAGTCCTCAATGCTGGTTTACGGTTTTTGGCATTTGTGGCTCGCACTCGTGCTTGTCTTGCTTCTTGGCCTTACACCGGTTGCTCTGTGTTTGCACTTGCATTTGAACTATGGCTGCATTGTAGCCAGTCTCCTAAATATGTTGGATGCTTTGATTCATGCTCCACAGTGACCTCAAGGCTGAAGTTTGACAGCTGGCGGCTTCCCATGACAACCAATGGGTACAATGCCCCGCTGAATCAGGCGCTAAAGCTTAAAGAACGTATCAGGCATTTTTGAAGACGCTATATAGTTCTATATTTGTGTTGGATCTGAAGGCGGCGACGGACGGAGAGAGAGAGAGAGAGAGAGAGATGCATGGCTGGCACAAGTTTCGGCTCAAGGCTCTGAGGTGGCTCAAGCAGGTTGGGCCTCTTGGCATTTGTCGAGGGCATTGGCACTACGTCACTGAGGAGACCTTTTGTGTGACCTACCTCATAGGTACCTGTGCCTTTGCTCGTAATCCGAGATTGTTGAGGGCCTCGTGCTGATCTTCATCGACATGCAGAATTGGGATGGCTTTAGAAAGGTGAGACCCCACAGATCCTGCTATGTTTGTGGGGGGTGTGATGGCTCCTGGATTTGGGCTGACAGGGTCAATGACCTTTGTTGGTGCTGTGATCATTGTGGAAGGCAGTGGCCGACAGGGAAGATGAAGCACGGCTCACCCAACGCAAGCAATCAGCGCCAGAGGAAAAAAAGAACAAGGAAAGTTGAAGCACCACCAGGCCTTGGCGGCAGAGACAAGAAGCCATCCAAGCATCCAGTGGATGATATGCTGAAGTAAACGTGGCCTAGTTTAAAAAGGCATTGCAATCAGCGGGCATAGACTACACCCCGGAGCCGGAGATGCAATCTCTGGAGACGGTGCCGAAAGCCCAGTTTCCAAGTGAAGTCAAAGAAGCTGTGGAGAACCTGCTGACGCCGGTGAAGGAAGAGCCCAAGGATGTCACCACCAAGTTGAAAGCCACGGTGGGAGAACTTAGACAGTTGTCCAACAAGAAGGCAGGGCTTCAGAAGCGTGTTGACAACGCCAAAGATCAATACAAGTTCCTCTTGGATGAGTTGAAGATCGTTTAGGAACAGATTGACAAGGAGCAGCAACAACTGACAGCACATGCCAAGTTGTTGAAAGAATTTGAAAGATGAGACGAAGGATGCTGCTGTCATTGAAGTAGCAGTAGGTGATGATGCTAATGAACATGTGCTGAAGGCACTTGCGCAGGTAGGGATTCTGTACACTGACTCCCAAAAGACTGACCTCAAGCGGCAGTTGGCTGAGAGCATGCTGAAGCGCCGCAAGAGGAGTGATGGCCAGCAGTCAGGGCAACCCTGACAGCAGGCCAGTGTCAATCTCAGGGGAGCAGGGGAAAAGGACCAGGGCTGCAGAGCATTTTGATTTGGGGTCAGTGCTGATTTCAAGCCTTGGTGATGCAAAGCAGAGCAAGCAGTGGGGACAGCAATCAAACCTCAGGGAGTGTTTGAGCGTTTGGCATTCATGGGATGGCATGTCACCTTGCTGGGGTGCAAGCACACATGCTGGTGAAGCGTTTGATAGATGCTGTCATGCATTTGAGCATGACACTTTGAATGCGGCTGATCACAATCAAGGATCGCAGCCGTATGTTGGGTGTGTAGACTACTTTGACAATCCATTTCCACAAGATCAGGACATGCCAAATTTTGACATTGCCACGGGGGGGACCCTGGTTTCTCGTTAGCGGTTGAGCCGGGGCGCACCATGTCGAGGGGCAGTGAAGCTGACATGATTGACCACAGAAGAGCTTCACATCCTCTCTGGAGATGATAGCAGTGGTAAACAGTGGGATGATATCCATGATGCACAGGTTCAGATTGAAGCCTGCGACCCAAAGAGGCCAAGGGTTAGCGCGACTGCGCCTGCTGACGATGAAGAAGAAGGTGAGTGCAAAATGGCTGATGCAGGGGGTATTCCTCGGGCACTGCCCTTGTGGAGCTCAGAGCAGCTGGGGTCACCCAGGCTTGCTGACAGCGGGACCCTGGGGTATCCTCAAACGCATTCACAGCCTACAGGGAGGTATCAATGTCCTAGTCAGCCATGTGCTGTCTTGGGAGGAGGCAAACGAGGAAGGGAGATGAAGTCTGGAATGATGATTCAGACATGGTAGAATAAACAAGCCCAGGGAGGCTGCAAAACCACAAGGCTGTGTATGCAGATCCTCCAGCACAATAACATCCAGGACATTTTCTGGGCCTCCGAACTGCAGCCAGTCATTGCAAGGCTTGAGAATCCTCAGAGTCAGCATGATGCCTCTGAATTCCTGGTGCTTCTGTGGGAGTTGTGGGGACAAACTGGCTTGCCGGGCAATTGGCATGCCCACTTTGGCGGGAGGTGGCATGAATATGAGACCACTCCCCTTTTCATCAGAATGCCGGTTGACATGGGTGATGAAGTAAACTTTGAGCAGCTTCTGGCAGAATGGGCCAATGAAGGCAATGGGCAATGCCTTGGTAGTGATGTGGAGCACATTGTTTTCCACACTGGCCGCTACTCATTGTGCTCACAAACCAAGGCTTGGGTCAAACATCACCATCTCTTGTACACGCCTTCTTCCACATTCAAATGCCCGCAGCGAACGCAGACTGGCCACTCCGGACATTCCACCTTCGTCTTGAGAGGCATCATTGCTCACCAAGGGCAGGAGCTAGTGCAGCTAGTGTCGGGACACTACGTGACCCTGCTTGTGGAAGGAGGGGCGGTCTGGGTGGCAGATGATGGCATGTGCCCTGAAGTCCAACAGAAAGTGCCGGAGCACATCAAGCGTGGGGCTGTTATGGTGTGGGCTTCCAGGGCTGAGCAATTTCTGGTCCACTTCGATTGGCCATTTTGAGCCACCACAAAAGAAGGCACGGCGTCCACACCAGGAGACTGAGATCTTTTATGCCAATATCACTCAATGGACTAGGGATGCCAAAGAGTGGATGACTCAGCAAGTGATGCTGGTAGAAACACACCCGCAAGGGCAGAAATGGAAGGAGCACACAATGAACTCTGTCGGCATCGGTGGCAGCCCACTTTCTTGGAGGCCCATGAAACAGGACGTGGTGGAAACAGTGGGGGGCATCTTTTCTGCATGAGAGAAGGGCGGGCGGGATATCGGCTCCACACCTATGACCTAGAGGGCAATGGATTCTTGGCCAATGTCCTTCAGCGCCAGCAGTGGGAACTAGTGTTGGTTGCACTGTACCTCAAGTGTGGGGAAGATCTCAATTCAAGGGCCAATTCAACCATCCTGGGAGAACTCGCAGCCTTTCTGCAGGAACTGGCCATTCCATGGATAGTTGTTGGTGATTTTCAGGTACCGCCTGGTCAATGGAAAGTTGCAGTGGACAGCCTACGTTGGTCAATGGAGCGGAGCTTGACTACCTCCTAGCCAGTCGTACAGTGGCGCCTTTTATAGACATCAAAGTGAGTTGGGACGTTCCGTGGAAACCTCATGCTGGCCTAGTGGTCACGGTGGACAAGGATGCCCCTCGTCTTGTGCTCCCTCAGTTGACGCAGTATCCTTCAGTTCCCAAGTTGGACGAACAGGTCAGGGCGTGGGAGGAATTCCAACCTGCCCCAAAGCCTTTCTGGTTGGGGCGGCCAATTGGGCCAAAAGAGACCCAATATGCGGAATGGCGCCATCAGGCTGAACAGTTTGTGCTTCAGCGCCTTCATGAACCCAAACAAGGGCGTGGTTGGTACCTTGCTTTGGAGCACAAGCCCATTCCCATGTCCAAGCCGTTAAACCCTGGAAGAAAAAGGAGATCTTGCATATTGGGGACAGTTCTGCTCTTTGCTTCATCACATTGCTGGCAAAACGGTCATTGGAGCAGGCACTATGGATCACCTTCGGGCAAAAACTGCCGATCTGGTGGTTAGATGGCAAGAAGTCAATGGCTTGGAGGATTTCAACGCTGGCATTGAAGCATTGATAGCTGGTGATCCTACGCCAATCACCCTCCTCATCAAAGGAGCTGAGTGCAACAAGGAGATTGCCAAGAAGCTTGCTTTTGAGCAGCAGGCCAATGATTTTCAGCAGTGGCTGTCTCAGGCCAAACTCCGGGGCCACAGTGGGATCTATAAGTGTCTCAAAGCACCGGACAATGTACACGTCAGGCCTTTCCGGAATGTTCCGGTTCAGCAGCGACAAGATTTGAGGGAACAACAATGGGAGCAAAGCCTGCCTGGCACTCAAGTTCTTCAAGTTGCACTGATCAGATTGTTGAAACGCGAGGTGGGTCGTGCAGTGGGCCGTCACGTCATTTCGTGATAGACCTGCAGTGCTTTTACGATTCTGTCGAATTGTCGCAACTTCTGCAGCTCTGGGAATCGTTTGACTTCCCCCTGCATATATGAACATGATCTATGAAGTGTATAGTGGGCCTCGGCTGCTTCAGGCAGAAGGAGTTACCTCCAATGGAGTTCATTGTCAAAGAGGCATGTTAGCAGGATGCCCGGCGGCTCCACTGGTCGCCAAACTTGTCTTGGCTCCGGTTTTGAAGGACTTTCAAGGCAAGTTTCCTCGAGCCTCAATAGATGTGTGGGTGGATGACATTTCCATGGACTTCGCTGGAGAAGATGCCTACACTGTCTGCAAGGAAGCATTGGCTGGCTACGAAGAGATCAGGTGGGGCTCCAACTGTCTGTCAGCAAGGCTGGTTTCCTGGGCCAAAAGGGCTGCCAATCTGTATCGATCTGAGGAACAGCCAAAGGCGCACGACCTCTTGAAGGACTTAGGTTTGGATTCAAGTGGAGGAAGGCGTCGCTGCATTGGGAGCCAACAAAAGCGGATGTTGAAGGGCAGTGGACGGCAATCCAAGCTTCTGCATTTGAAGTTGAGGTCAAGGCCCATCCGCATTAGAGTGTGGAAAACTTCAATCCACTCCGCTGTGAGCTTTGGAGTTGAAGCACCAGGTGTGGCACCACAGAGGATGCGCAATTTGAGGCAGCAACTTGGCCGTCTTGGTGGACTGCAGAAGAAGGGTAATGTTGACATTGTCTTTGACCAACATGGGCATCTTCAAGACCCTAAAGACACGGCGGTCGAACGACAGCTCAAGGCCATGCATCAGCTGATCAGAGCCTGGCCAGACAATCAGCGGGGGGAGCTCGTGCAGGGTGTCCTGGAGGAGATTGCAGGCGGCCGCACACCCTTGGATTGTTGTTGCTGGACCTATGG